CCTTGCTCTAATCCCTGGTTCCAGTCTCTTGCTAATGCAGGCACTGGAGGCAGGGAGTGATGCAAGGAGCTGGGTTCTTGCAACCTATGTGGGAGTCTCAGACCAGTTCCCACTTCCTGACTTTGGCCCTGGTGCAGCCACAAGCATTGCAGGCTTTAGGGAGTGAACCAGGGGAGTAAAACTCTCAATCTCTGTCTCTCTTCAAATAAATAATTTTTAAAAAATGCTTTGAAGGTGGGCCCAGCACAATAGCATAGTGGTTAAAGTCCTCGCCTTGCATGCCCGGTATGGGCACCAGTTCTAGTCCTGGCAGCCCCACTTCCCATCCAGCTCCCTGCTTGTGGCCTGGGAAAGCAGTTGAGGATGAGGACAGCCCAAAGCTTTGGGATGCTGCACCCATGTGGGAGACCTGGAAGAAGCTCCTGGTTCCTGGCTTCAGATTGACTCAGCTCCAGCCGTTGCAGCCGCTTGGGGAGTGAATCATCGGATGGAAGATCTTAACAAAACAAAACCAAAAATGCTTTGAAGGTTGAGTAGAATGGAAATTCCCTTGGTTCTTACATCTTAAGGCCTATCTCACTTATATATAAAATGTATGCATAGGACTAGATCATCTTTAATGCCTATTTCAGAAATATAGTTCTGATTGGCTGAATTGGCTAATCCTCTTCCTGCAAGCGCCAGCATCCCATATGAGTGGTGGTTCATGCCCCAGCTGCTCCATTTCCCATCCAGCTCCCTGTTTGTGGCCTGGGAAAGCAGTTGAGGATGGCCCAAAGTCTTGGGACCCTGCACCCACGTGGGAGATCCAGAGGAGGCTCCTGGCTCCTGGTTTCAGATCAGCTCTGTGGTCTTTTGGGGAGTGAACCAGCAGATGGAAGGTCTTTCTCTGTGTATCTCCTTCTCTGAACCCACCTTTTCAATATAAGTAAATAAATCTTGTTTTAAAAAAAGAAGCAGCAAAATTTTAGTCAATACGTGTTTATTTAAAACATATTACTTCAAGGAGAAATTCTAAACAGTGTTTTATCTCACAGACTTTGCAATCTATCTGTACATAGAGTCAACTTTCAAAACAATAACCAAAGTCAACAATGTAAAAGATGTTGAGGTGTGATTAATTCCAGTTTGAACCTTTTAGGTAGGGGAAAGAGAGGCTGAGAAAGCCTGTGGTGCTGCTGGGGAAGCAAGACTCAAGCAGTGTAAGAACAGGCAATCTGTCAGGGGCGGATTGGATATTTACGTCACGCTAAACAGTAGATTAATGACTAGCATTAGTATGATGGAGTGGTTCATGGTCAAAGGAAGTTCTCATCTCTCCCACTTTCCCTGGCACCATCTGAGACATCAACATTTTTGTCTTTCCAGATCCAGAAAGATATAACTTTTACATTTGAAAGTATAATTAAATCCCTGACCAGCACACAGACACTCTGGCCATTTTGGGGCATAACCATTAACTTTCGCCGCATGTAAGAACAGTTGTGTAAATACTGACAAATGCCGTGCTTGTCAGAACACGAAGGTGCCAGCAGCCATCTGGATGAACAGAGTTGCATGGAAGAGGACTGGGGATGATTCTTCTCCAACACACATTTAAAAATTGTTGCTCCTTATTCCCAGAAGGAGCCAGCACGAGTATAAATCCTCCCTCCCTGCCAACCCCTTCCAGCAGAGAAAGCATCTCTCTTAGAATATCATCCTGAACACACTGTGGTTTGAAGGGAGAAGGCCCTGGGAGTTTGTTGCTTGTCTTTCAAAGATGCATTTATTTATTTGAAAGAGTTACAGAGAGTGGGAGAAACAGAGAGAAGATTCCCTCTGCTGGTTCACTCCCCAGACAGCCTCATTGGCCAGGACTGGCCCAGGTTGAAGCCAGGAGCCTGGAGCCTCTTTCAGGTCTCCCTGTGTATACAGGAGCCCAAGGACCTGGACTGTTTGCTTTTTTCCCAGATGTATTAGCAGGGAGCTAAATGGGAAATGGAGCAGCCAGGACAAACCAGTGGGGTGTTGCAGTTGGCAGTTCTGCCTGCTAAGTCCAAATGGGAGTTTTAGGACTAAAGTTTCTCCATGATAGAACCAGGAGACAAGATAGATCTGACCTGGACCTGATCCACCTATATCAATCAGAAGCAAACACGAATCTTCCTTCAGCCCAATGCCTACTTTCTCATCTAATTCACAAACAAGAGGAGCACATACAAGGAAGGAAGTTTCTAGGAACAAACAAGAAAATGTTTGAGCCACTGCTCACAGCAGCTTCCAGAGACTAAATTGATGATATGTGCTCCAAGCCATGTGATGGATTTTTCTCTGCAGAGTCTAACCTAACACTATTCTCTCTGGGGAGGCTTTCTCGGATCCCCACTCACCCCCAAAGAAGGATCAGCTGCTGCCACGACAGTGTTCCTTCCCGTTACTGTTTTCATCAGACCCAGAGCTGGCATCAATTTGCAGCTAAGACATCCTGACTGCTTTGTTCATCCTCACATCCTTGGGGGCAGGCATCTGGTGGGTGCCTGCATCAATCAAGTGAATGAATGAATGAACTGAAAGCAGCTACATTTCATCCCAGTAAGAAAGTCAACATGGATGTTCAGTTGTCACGGGAGCTTCTGACAAGCTGGGAGGACTTGGAGAAGTGGGTGTGGGCCAAGAGAAGAGTTTCTAAGAGCTAAAGCCCTCCAAGCCCCTCACCAGGGTAGAGGTGGGAAGGAACAAGGGAACCGAACATGCTGGTAAAGTTTCACCTGAGCTGAGAAGTGGATCCCGAAGCACTGCAGGTGGAGAGCCAAGTAGAGAGACACAGGTCATTGTAGGGGCCAGATTCACAAGTGTCTGTGGGGGCCACTGCTGCAGCTACCTACCCCGACCCAGGAAATGGCCCCTGCTCAGCCCAGCAGAAGAACAAAGAGCAGGCCAGAGCCACTGTCTCTGCAGGGTTTCCAGAGGGTGGGGGGAGCTGCACATGAACAATCCTATTTCCTGCCCCCAGCAATTTGGTGAGGGATGTGTCCCTGACCTGCCAAGGGTCAGGGCCTCCCCGACCACCGCCCCCCCCCCCCACACACACACACTACGAGAGGAAGAGCAAGGGCTGGTGCAGAAAGCATGGTGCACAGCAACAGCCAAAACAAAATGAGAACTACACCTGCAGTAGGTCAATGAAAAAAAAAAAATCCAGAGTCTGTACACCCACGGCTCACCTGTTTTATGGCTCTTGCAGTTTGCTTATTTTTCTCTTGCTCCCGATTTCTTAGAAAGCTTTTTGTTGTCATTTACTTGTTACAAAAATCTCAGAGGATTCTAATCTATGGGAATTGTGAAGCGGGCAGCGAAGCTGGGTCCCCCTGGGGGGTGAGGGAGAGGGGGGAACACAAAAGGTCAGGGATCGGTGCTGCCCTGCAGCCCGAAGAGGTGTGACCCAGGAGGACAAGCACAGGTGCTCTGTGGACAGAAGGTGTCTGTCCCACAGGAGTAACCCAGCAGCAGCAGCACTGGTACAGCCCCCTTCTACCTGACACCCATAAATCTGTTTTCTCAGATCATAGGGTGGCATTTACTTCCACACTTCAGAAGAGAAAAAATACGAAATCAAGACCCATCCAGCCTCCTGATCCTCACATCCTTCAAGAGATGTGGCTAGCGATCTCTTTTTTACTCCAGCAGGTGGAAATTTTGGACACAACCAAATCCACATCAGCTTGCATCCTGGTAAGTCTCAGGGTGCAGAGCAGATCTGATGCCACTACCTGAGAGGGGGAAGGGGATGTGGGTAGCAGGGGGGCTGTTAAAGGCAGTCCTAATAGCATGAGCTGAATCCAGACCGCCTAACCGGAATACGCGGCAGAGCAGAGGCTCTCTGGCCACCGCAGCGTCCGGGGGTAGAAAGTGCAGCTAGCAGAGAGGAGGCACAGGTCCCGCGTGGGAGGCAGCAGCCTTAGCTGTACCCTGCACGGCAGCAGTAGAGGCCTCCGCAAAGACTGGCTCGGCAGGGTCGTGAGAAAGGCCATAGTGGGACTGCTAAGCCACTTCCAGCTGACCTCTGTTCCTGGGAACTTGAACCACACGATGGCAATCGGCTCCTCAGCAGGCGCAGGCTTTCTCCCCAAGAAGGCACAGGGGTGCCTGCCTGCTTGCCAGCTTCTGCTGGGGGCAGCTGCCAACGCCTCCTTGGCGGGCGGCAAACAGGCGGGCTGCAGGGGCGGGGGCGGAGACTGTGGCCAGGAGTCCGGTGGGTGGGTCGGGGTAAGAACTCCTCATTCCTTCCCAGTTTTTAGGCATCATCTCTACCACAGACTTTTGTTTTCAATCCCCAGGACCCCTCCTGGCAGCCAGAGCCCGACACTGAAATTACAACGGCGCCCGCGCCACTGTCTGTGGGGTCACGTGTGGCCAAACAGCCCAGGCCCTCGGCGCCCTGCAGAGGCACGGGCGCCAGGCGACCAAGTGGAGGAGGCTGGCCCAAGAGCGCACCCCGCCTCGGTCCGCTCCTGGCGCCCGAAGGGAAGGCTATGGGGCGTCGCCTCTTCCCCGTGCAGCCCACTTCTCAGGACGCCTGGGAGCCTGGACACCGCCACCGCGATACCAGAGCTCGCCCCGCTTTCGTCCCACTCCCCTCGGGAGAACAGGGCTCACCGAAAGATGCGCGCGACAGGGAAAAGCAGCGGACTCCCGATGCCTGGCTGAGAGCCGAGCCCCGGCTGAGAGAGCCGTCCCAAACGCCGCCCGCTGGCCCCAATGTGCCCCGTAAAGTTTCCAGCTCTTTCGGGTCGGGCTAGCTCACCTGCAGACCCAGACCCACGCATGCCAGCTCCCTTCAGGGACGACCACTCCACGAGCTCTGCCACCTGCTCAGGGGCGCGAGGCAGGCACTGCTCTTGCCGCTGCTGGGCTCCCCACCACCCCCCCCCCGAAGGTCTCCCGCCGCACCCACCTTCCCTGGGCCCCCCTCCCACGACGGGGTCGTGTCACCCGGGGTCGCGGTGGCAGCGTCTTACCCAGTCCCGGCACGAAAGTGTTGAGGAAGAGGCAGATGACGGCCACGGGAAAGGGCATGTAAGGGATGGCTGCTCTCAGGGGGCCCTTCTTTTCGCGGACCTGCACCACCACCCCGCTGGACGAGGGCGCCCCCCGGGGGTCCGCCGCGGCCACCGCCGCCGCCGCAGCCGCCGTCTCGGGGTCTTTGTGCGAGGGCTCCATGGCTGGATGGCTGTGCCGGGGCAGGCGCCCGGCTCACAGGAGGCGGTCGACGACCGGCTGATGGCTCTGCTCTCCCGGCTGGCGCCCAGCTCCGGTGGCCGGCGTGCTCTGTGTGCGGCACGGCTCCCCGTGAATCCCGCCCTCCCGCGTCCCCACGCGCCCAGCACTCTGCCACGCGCTCCGCTGTGCTCCCACCTCCCCGGCGGAGGGGCGGGGAGGACAGCATGACACTCGGTGACAGCACTCCGATGCCCCTCCCCGCCGGACCCCTTCCCCGCCCTTCTCTCCACATCCCCTCCCGCCCTCACCCCGTCTCGCAGCCCCAGTTACTCATAAGGAATGGAAAACCAGAGCGAAAGGAAGTAAAGTGGACGAGAACGTAAAGGGAGCTGGCTGTCCGGGTCCTGAGATTCAAGGACACACCTGGCCCTCACCAGACGGGTGCACCGAGCATCACCGCGAGCTGGGCGAATGTGTTCCGTTAGCATGGTCAGGAACACCCCCAGTTTGAGTCTTTGGATCGCGATTAGGGATGCGCGGTGCATTCATTCTGGTTTCAATGAATTGCTTTCAAGTCACGGTGGAGATGTAATTCAGGAGTGGATCAATAACAGAACTGGCTGCGACAGACGGCTTTTCAAAGTACAGGTCAGGGTTCCCCAAGACTTTAAAAATGGGCCAGTCCTTACACACGTGCACGCACGCACACGGGCAAGGAACGCGCCCATCGTGGGGAAGAGGCGATGTTGCGGAGCGTCCCGCACTCCGCACTAGGAGTGGACGTGGATGAGGCAGGGGGTAACCTGCATCTTCTGTGCGCCCGACGTGGCGGTTCCAGAGCCCGTGAGCGTACAGCGCCGTCTGGTGTTGAACTTGGAGATCCAAATCCTTTGCAGCGAAAGGATTTGGAGGGGACCAAGCGCAGAGCCCCATGCCCAGGTTGGATCTCTGAATAGTGCCGCCCCCACTCCCGCACCTAGAAAAGTTAACTTTTCTAGAAAAGTTAAGCCTCTTACATTAGGGAGCCAATTGTCTGAATCACGGGAAGGACAAAGATCTACTTCCTTCCCACTGATCCTCTCTGGGAATAATAGTGACTGACCTAGACACAGCCCAGGGCCTCAAAGGAAACCTGCTAAAAGAACAAGGACTGTTTGATGGGCTGATCAGTTACAATAGTCTTAAAAGCAAATGGTCAGCAGCTGGTGCTGATCGTGGTAGGGACACACATTCACACACACAGGAACAAGCTTGGGCTTAAGCAACCACTAATGACCTGTGTGCTTTAGAGGAGTTCATTTAGCCTTTCCTGGGCTCAAGTTCCCGTGTTTGTACAATCAAAGCAAAATTCAATTTCATGCATGTTGACCAAAGGACTACTGTGACTCGGGTTCTGGAGGAAAGGGGGAATGAGTAAATTCCACCCCTGCCTTCCAGAATCTAATAGAAGGACTGAGAGCTGCTAAAAACTGCAGCGATAGACAGTGACAGACGCTGACTGCGGGGTGTTGAAGGTGCTGTAGCAAACGCAGGGGTCAGTGTTGGGGAGGCATGAGGGGAAGTCTCCTGAAGGAAGAGCAGGCGACTAGTTTTAGTATAAACAAACTTCTATCCAAGCAATCTCTGCCTGACACCATCCTAAAACACTTGACATGTTTTACTTGATCTTATCCTGACCTTAATTCAAAGGAATATTATTTACTATCCCATTTTACAAATGGGAAAATTGAGACACGTCAAATCAGCTGCAACAAGCTGCCCGTTTACTAAAGGTGGAGCTGCTACTTGAGCACTGGCAGTCTGGCTCCAGATTTCATATGCATAAGGGTCATTTCATGAGAGACCCAGGAAAAGCTCACATACTTTGAATATTCTTTTTGCAGAATCCCTGGCCTGTTTTGGAATCACTTCATCACTATTATTCCTGGAGAAAAAGGATCTCAAGGAGGAAAGAAAGGAAACATCCTCCTCCCAGTTCCCGGGTGATTGGCTGAGTATCTGGATGCCTTCAGGCAGAACAGCCACATGCCCTGGAAGCCAAAGAAAGTAAAGACCATTCCAGAATTTGCAATACAGCTGGGGCTCATGTGTCAGGGACAGGAAATAGGCCTGGTGGGATGGGCAGCAACCTAGTACTGAAGGACACATGAATTTGGACTTGCTTCTGGTAGCTATGTGGAGTCCTCAGAACATTTTAAGTTTGGGTGCATGGTATAAGTATACCAGTTACACCTAGGTAACAAGTCACCCCATTTTCTCTATGGGCACAAATGCTCTGATCAGGAGACTAAACAGAACCCAGCTGAGGAAGCTCTCCTTTGCGCCTGTGACTGAGCTAAGCTGGGAAGACTCAAATGCCGGGCTCCCACCCCGCTGGGGCTATGGGATCCTTTCCTAAAAAGATTCCAAGATGTCCTGTTGGGACTGAGATGACTTAAAGCCGCATCCACTGGGAGGCCTATCCATGTGAGTTGGACATTATGGCTGCAGGATTCTGAAGGGGACTTCCTGCATGAGCGTTTCATGAGCTGCATGGACTCGAAACCCCCACTGTCACTTGTGTGGGAACATCACAAACCCAGGTACACCGAGTATAGGACTCCCCACTTATCTGTGGAGGGGACAGCCTGAGATTCTGAGCCCAGGCATCTTTTGAGCTGCATGTGTTGGCAGGATTGTCCCATCTATAGCGAGAGGATGGGCTGAAGAGAACAAAACGGGGTCACATCTACAGCGAGGGTCTGGGTGGAAGCAGAGGAAGAGGGCTAGTTCCCAAATGAAAACTGAGTGATGTTAGCAGATAAAGAAAGTGTTGAGTCCAAGGAGTCTGACTGTAGGGCCAGCAGGCACTCCCTGACTGAATGGCCAGCAGGGGTCATTGTCCAGACAGAAGTTGGATGGTTAGTCAAACGGAAGCTCAGGAATGGTATTGGCACTGCAGGAGTAGGACCCATCAGCTCACTTGCCAATGGTGGTACAAGCCCTAGATGCAAGCATGGAATACAAAGAAATGACATGGGAGTCACCACAGGGTACCACACCAGAGAGGAGGACAGTGGAGGTCTGGGGTGCAAGGATAGAAGCACCAGCAGTCAGATGCACTGCACAGAGGAGTAGGTCAAACCGCACAACCCCCGCCCCAGGTGTCACTGGATTTGGCAGTTGGGAACTTCAGTTCTCTGGGGTTCTAACTCAAAGTCTCTCCCACTGTGTACAGGTTCCCGCCTCCCTCAAAAAGTGCCCATTTTGTCGAAGTTGTTGAGTAGTTGGCATCAAATGCTTCTCTCCTGTTGCTATCTTTTTGTATGCATATGTATATGTATACTTGAGAGACAGAGAGAAACAGACAGTTTCCATCTGCTGGTTCATTCCGTTAATGTCCGTAACAGCCAGAGTGACTCAAAGCTGGAGCTGGGAGCCAGGAACTCAATCCAAGTATCCCATATGGATGACAGGAGCCCAGTCACTTTGAGCCATCAGTGTTGCTTCCCAGGATCTGCATTAGCAGGAAGCTGGAGGCACAAGTTGGAGATAGGAACCAGTCCAGGAATTCTGACATAAGATGTGGACATCTCAACTGGCATCATAACCACTAGGGTCAAATGCCTACCTCTTCTCTTTTCAGTGTCTGTCAAATCTGCAATGATACCTTCTGTTTCTGATACTTTCCCTGTATGTGTTCCATTTTTTCTTGATCACTCTTGCAAGAGGCCCATCCATGTCTGTTGGACCTGGGGACTGCAATGATGTTTGTGGCGGAGTTGCAGATCTAAGCTGTGACAGCTAGGTAGAGGCTCTGAATAAAAGACAAAGCCTCAATAAATAAGTCAGACACAAACACAACAGGGCAAAGAGATCAAAACCATTGATGACATCAGCCGAATAATACATGTAGGCCAAGCGTTGAGTCATAAAGATAAAGTGCATTACTTGGCCTTGTTCTGTCATCAGCTGAATAAAATATTTCAGCTTTGGGCCTTGTTTTCGGGAGGGGAAAATTGCTGAGGTCAGCTTTCAAACTGCAAAAGAACTAGTACTCTGACTAGGATAGGGCAACTTTCAGGCAAAGCCTAATATCATTGCCCTAGCAGTAGAAAAGCAGACTTCATTTGGAGTGGAGTCTTTAAACAAGTTTTCAAAAATGAATTTATTGATGTTATTTGAAAGGCTGAGATGAAGAGATAGGGAGAGAAAGATCTCTCACCTGCTGGTTGATTTCCCAATGCCTGCCACATGCAAGACTGAAGCAATCTAACCCAGTATCTGGGAACTCTGAGTCTCCCAATGGCCTGAGTGCTTGAGCTGTCACCTGTTGCCTTGCAGGGTATACATTAGCAAAAAGCTGGATGGAAAGCAGAGGCAGGACTCGGTAACAAGCTCTTATTCTTTCTTGATCACTCCTGCAAGAAGCTGAAGCCATGCCTGTTTGACAGTGTAACCGGGAATTGAACTAGTGCCTATATAGGATGTTAGTATCATACAGGAAGGTTTAATCTGCTGCTGTTGGAGATAGATAGATAGATAGATAGATAGATAGATAGATAGATAGATAGATAGATAGATAGATAGATAGATAGATAGTAAGCAGCCTCATCAGTACAGGACTCGGCCAAACAGCGTAGATTTGGATACCAGGTGTGTACTGAAGTACCTGTGTCCACTGAGAGTGCTAATGAGGAAAGGTGGGGGTAGCAGAAGCTCTCACTCCACAGGAAGGTGACTTAGGCACAAAAGGAGGAAGAGCAAACCCCAAGGTCACTGTCAGCTGACTCCACTGCATGTCCTACTCTGTCTTTAAAGACCAAGGGAAAGACCCTTGACACACTTGGTCTTAAGGATCCAGCTAAACAACTGCCAGACCCTGGAGCTAACTGCAGCACGTACAGCCCTGAGAACTGGAGCTCTGCCCTGACGAACCCTGCTGCTTACGCAAACAGTTTTGCCTTTTTCTGGAATTGGTAAGGCTGCGGTTGTAGACCAGGTTACCTAGAAAAACACAG